CTTAAAACATGTAAGTATAATGTAATATAAACTATCCCTCAATTCAATAAAGTCATTTAAAAAAAAATTCCACATGGATTCCTACTATTTATATCTACCAAAATTGTCATGCCTTTAATCTCTGATAGTTTTTTAAATGACAAAACTTTTCCCTAATCATTCTTGCTCTGCAATCAATTTTTTAACTTCCAATTTCTTAACAGGTTGTGAAAGCTAATTCTCAGTACTTTGATCCATTTTCTTTAATCTATATAATCAAGATGACAATTTTGATAATGAGTTTCTTTCATTCCCCAAAAACCCAATGAGTTGATGTAATCAGGCAAAATGAATGATCTAATGACTCAGTCTATAATACTACTTTACAAAGCTGTAATGATTCTAAAGCTCCCTAAGTCTGCTGAAGAAATAAAAATACCACCTGTCAAATGAAATGATTTATACATTCTCTGGTATGTACAGTATAAATCATTGTCTAACTCTGGCATGATACCCACTTTTACATCATAGGCTTTTAACCCTTTCTTGCCCTCTTCACGTAGAGAAAAATACTTGCATTTGTTCTTTACTAAATTTGTTTTTTGGGACAACACAGGTGGCTCAGCAGTTTGGTGCCACCTTCGGCCCGGGTTGTGACCCTAGAGACTAAATTTGTTTTTGTCTTTTTTTCTTTTCAAGAAGTCCAAATACAGCACCAATCTCTTTCCTCAGATTTCAGGAATATAAATGTCCTTCAACCCACTTATTCCCCAAAATATAACCTAGACAACGTCTATGTGCTCTGTGTAATATATCTATCCTGGTGAAGAGAGAAATTGTGGAAGACTTAGAGGAACAGTTTTCTTTCTCCACTGATGATCAGATACATTTCTGATCATATGCCCTCCCTCTATTTGCTGTTCCATTTCCAAGTCTCACTGGTGGCTTTAAGGAGTACCTGGCTTGGGAGCACCTGGGTAGTTCATTCAGTTAAGTATCAGACACTTGATTTCAGCTCAGGTCATGATTTCAGGGTTGTGAAATCGAGCCCCACATCAGGCTCCACGCTGAGTGTGGAGCCTGCTTAAGACTCTGTCTCCTTCTCCCTCTGCCCCTCCCTAGTCACACACTCTCTCTCACTCTAAAAAAAAAAAAAAAAAAAGACAAAAAAAATTTAAAGAAGTAGCTGGCTTGGGCTGTGTTTGATCCACAAAGGACTTGATGGTAGGCAGTTTCCATCATTATTCCCATCCAATCTTAAAAAAGAGAAAAAAGATTCTCACTGTGGTTTACAGTTCAATCATTCAAATTATACCAAAAAAGAGACATGTATAAATACAAATATAAAAATAAATGCAATGATTTACTTTCATGTCAGTCTTTAGGCTTTGGTTCCATTCCAAGCATCTTCTTTCCCAAATATTTCTAATGTTAAATTCTGGAAAATTATTTATAACTGAATATTCATTATATTCACTAAAGTGAAAAAAGGTAGACTTTTTTTAAAGAAGACAATTCTTATCTGGTCTAACAGGGATCTATTTATTTTTTTAAAAGATTTTATTTATTTATTTATAGAGACAGAGAGAGTCAGAGGGAGAAGCAGGCTCCAGGCAGGGAGTCTGATGTGGGACTCGATCCTGGATCTCCAGGATCACACTCTGGGCTGCAGGCAGTGCGCTAAACCGCTGCACCACTGGAGCTGACCTAACATGGATCTATTTAAATAAAAGATTAGGTCAGTAAATTCAATAAATGTCTACTGAACACCTACTGCTTACCAAGCCCTGGATATTTAGGAACAAATTAGGAGCTACTTCTACCTTCAAGGAGTTCATAAGCTGTTAGGAAAAAATGAACCATAACTACATACAATTTAAATCAGATTGGGATAAGTACCTCGATATTTAAAAAAAAAAAAAGCCATGGAAACAGAGGTTTTAAAAAGTTGACTTGACAAGAAGAAAGTAATGCTTCAACTGAAATGGAATTGGGCATGGTAAGTGGTAATAGAGTCCTGGGGAAGAGAGCCAAGTAACGTGAGGTATGGATGTAGTATCAGGCAAGTGAGGACATATTGAAAAACAAGGCTGAGGTCTCATTAAGATAATATTAGCTAATATTTATTGAGCATTTACTATGTGTCAAGTACTATTCAAAGCACTTTATTTGTATTAATTTATTTGGTCCTCACAACCCTATGAGGAATACAGTATTATTCTCATTTTAAAGATGACAAAACTGAGGTAGAGAATGGTTAAATAATCTGTTCATAGTTACATAGACTCAGCTAAATTATAGAGCCGGGACCTTGAAATCCATAAATAAAAAAAGCAAATCAAATTCTGTCTCACTCTCAACCACATTCATTATAAAAGCAGTTATCAGGTATTTTAAATATCTCTTCTCTTATTAATTCCTGGGCCATACTTCAAGACTTTGCTCAAATGTCTCCTTCTCTAAAAAGCCTTTCTTGATCCCTCTAACTGAACCATAGATGGATCTTTCTCCTCTAAGTTTCATAACAGTTTATATCAGATTTATAGTAACAGCCAGGGGATCCTGGGTGGTTCAGTCCCTTAAGAGTCTGCCTTCAGGGATCCCTGGGTGGCGCAGCGGTTTGGCGCCTGCCTTTGGCCCGGGGCGCGATCCTGGAGACCCGGGATCGAATCCCACGTCAGGCTCCCGGTGCATGGAGTCTGCTTCTCTCTCTGCCTGTGTCTCTGCCTCTCTCTCTATCATAAATTAATAATAATAAAAAAAGAGTCTGCCTTCAGCTCAGGTCATGATTTCGGGGTCCTCAGCTCCCTGCTGAGAGGAGTCTCTATCTGCCACTCCCCCTGCTTGTGTTTGCTTGATCTGTCTCAAATATTTTTTTTAAAAAAGCAACAGTTTATGAACAAAATCTTAATATTTAGTTCCTAGCATTACAGATTTTATAAGCATCATTCATTCTTTTTTTTATTCTGCTTTAGCCTGACCCACTTTCTATTCTCCCCAAGTCCTAGGACAGTGCTTGGGGCATTATAGTGCTAGCTATATCTGCGGAGTACTTACTCGTTGCAAGGCGTTGTGCTAAGCATTTTCCAGGAATTCTCTCTCAAAATCCTTACAGCAATCCGATTCCTAATTCACTGCATTCAATAGCTATCTGTTAGCCCTTTCTGTGGCAAAGTGAAATACTAGATGCACCTTAAACTCATTAAACAAAACAAATACGGCCCCACTCTCAAGAAGTTCAATCCAGGAGGTTAGTACGATTGGTATTCCTGAACATCAGGAAGAGGAAAAACTGAAGCTCAAAGAATTTAAGTGACTTGTTTGCCCAGAAATCACACAGCAAAAAAGTGGCAGAGACTGAATTCAAACTCAGCTCTCCAGACCTTATATTGGGGACCCTGTGCACCGGTTAACTACTATGTTCTGAAGGAGGCGTTTGGGGACACCTGGGTGGCTCGGTTGTTGGGCACCTGCCTTCGGCTCAGATCGTGATCCTGGAATCCAGGATCGAATCCCGCATCGGTCTCCCTGCGAGAGGCCTGCTTCTCTCCCTGCCTGTGTCTCTGCCTCTCTCTGTGTGTCTCATGAATAAATAAATTTAAAAAAAAAATGAAGGAGGCGTTTGATAAGCATTATTGAAGGGAAAGTTTTAGAATACTTTTACACTACAATGAAAAATATCCCAATGATAATGAAGACTTCTACTCCATTTCTTTCCGCGAGAGAAAAGCAGGAAATGAGCAACAGTGCAAACAAGTTGCAGTAATATCCTGATAGCGCAGAACTGCTGATCGAGCCCTCTGCGGAGACTCGCTCAGCATTGAAGATTTCCGTGTGTGCCTTAAAGTGACCCCCACCGAGCAGTAACCCTTAAAGTGCTTCTTCCTGAACATCAATGCTCCGCTGTGCGCAGCGTGTTGTGGCCGCCACTGATCAGCAGTGAGACCTTGGGCTACGCCGTCCATCACGTATCCCAGAGGTGTGGAGGAGTGCGGTGCGCGGGAAGGATGCACAGCTCATTTACACGTGGTGCAACTCTTCTGCAAAGGTGCGTCCAACTCCCCAGAGAGGCGGCTTCCAAAAGTGTGTGAGTCCGTACTTGCCACTGGAGGAGTGAGGAAGCTGCCCTGGAGGGATTCGGGGCCGAGGACGGACAACTCAGGCGCCCCCCTCACTCCTAACCCCACCCCCCGGCCCTGAACAGCTGCCTGCGGGCGGGCGGACGGCCACAGCCGCACAGCCGCATGGCCACACTCTTCGACAAGCGCCACCCCGGCAGCAGCAGCACAGTTTGGATTCTCCTACCCATCTCCATCTCCTCCAACGAGAGGGTTTTTTGTTTTTGTTTTTTAAGATTTACTTATTTATTCATGAGAGACACAAGGAGAGAGAGAGAGAGGCAGACACACAGGCAGAGGGAGAAGCAGGCTCCATGCAGGGAGCCTGACATGGGACTCGATCCGGGGACTCCAGGATCTCGACCTGGACCGAAGGCGGCGTTAAACCGCTGAGCCCACGAAAGGGGTTTTTACAAGGGCGGCATCTCAAGATACAGACCGGGCTGAGAGAGGCGCCTGGGGGCAGGTGTCTAACTCCCTACAATTCCTTCGCCCAACAGGAGGCCACCTGACTCTCCCCCCGGGCCACCCAGTGAGGCGTTGGAGACGACCTTGAACGGCGAGGCCCCCGCCCAGGAGCTCTTCCCACCGCCGCTCCGCCGCAGCTCCACTCCGGCCCCCACGCCTCGCACGCCGCCAGGCCCCGCCCCTGCGCCCGCCCGTTAGCCCGGCAACCGGCGCGCAGGGACCCCGGCCCGGGTGCAGGGAGAAGGCGGGGCCGGCGGCGGCCTGCTGCGCCGGCGCCGGGGGCTCCAGGCCCCGCCCTCCCTCTCCGGCGCCGCGGTGGGCGCATGCGCCTGGGGAGGCGGGCCGGTGAGGGCGCCCTACCGCGGGGAGGGGGAGACGGAAATGGAGGGGGTCTGCGCGCACCCGCTCGGCCCCGGCCCGGCGGGGGCTGGAGAGGGCCTTGGGCGCGTTGCCGGGGGCGGTGGTCGCCGGGGAGGTGGAGACTGGGGCTCCGACCCGCCGCGGCGGCCCGCTGACCCCGCCGTGTGTGTGTGTGTGTGCGCCCGCGCAGGGAGGCATGGAGAACTGCTTGGCGGCCGCGGCGCTGAACGGGGTGGACCGACGCGCCCTGCAGCGCACGGCGAGGCTGGGTCGGGAGGTGCTGGAGCGCGCCAGGACGAGGGCGGCGGACTGGCGTCCGCGGGAGCTTCCCCGAAGCAGCGTGGGGGGCGCTTCCCGGGAGCGGCCCGCGGCCGGCCCCCAGCGCCTCCTGCCGGGACAGGTGAGGCGAGGGCTGCCGTGCCGGGCGGCCCGCTGGCGGCCCCTGACGGAAGCCGTGAGGTAACGGGACGTGGGCGGAAAAGCCCTCGGAGAACCCCTGACGCTTGACAGATTCTCACTGGGGGGTGTGGGGGTACCTACCGCCAGTGCCCCGCCCGGGTGGGTGACTTTGAAAAAGATTCTTACACGCTGCCCTCTGGTATTACAGGAAAGCTAGCAACCCTTTCTTTGTCCTGGATAAATTGCGTGTCTGTTTATTCTTTTTAGAGTGGAGTTCTTTCTCAGTAAGGGCCTTCTGACACTTGCAGAGGCCTTTCAAAAAAAAGATGCTATTCCCAAAATGACTTCTATTGTCTAGCGAATTCCAGCTCTCACCCGTGGTTTGCCATTTATTCGAATAGAGAGAAGAAAGACAACCAACCCTCAGTGCTTCCTTCAGGACAATGGCGGCATTCATGGACTATACCTCAAGTCAGTGTGGGGTAAGTTGGTGTAAGCCAAAGCAGAGCTCGCCTGGATGCACCTGCACACGGGCCACAAAGTGGATCTTCGCAGACTTTTTTTTTTTTTATTTTTTTTAATTTATTTATTTATGATAGTCACACACACACAGAGAGAGAGAGAGAGAGAGGCAGAGACACAGGCAGAGGGAGAAGCAGGCTCCATGCACTGGGAACCCGATGTGGGATTCGATCCCAGGTCTCCAGGATCGCGCCCTGGGCCAAAGGCAGGCGCCAAACCGCTGCGCCACCCAGGGATCCCGGATCTTCGCAGACTTTAAGGAGAATCTGGAGGCTACCCATCTACCCCGCCCCACATTCGTGGCCAGATTGTAAACAGGGATTTAAACCAGGTGATAAGTCCCAAGTTAGAATGTATTCAACAAATATTTATTGAATGTCTAACTGTAGGTATGATTGAGGATAAAGCAGTGAACCAACCACAGAAGGCCTTTGTCTTCATTATTGTTTTCAGACTGGGGCAGGGCCGGGGAGCTTATTTGCTGAATTCCAAAATATTCAAGTCCAGATATTAGGGATTTTTTTTTTGAACTTTGAATTGAAGTTTAAAAAAAAAAATCATAGGTTGCTCTAAACTGGAACTGAGACTTTCTGGTTTTCAAAAACATATTGAAACAAAAACTGAAGACAAAATCCCTAGAGTTTAACCGCTGTTGCAAGTAAGGTGGTTTTTAAGTATGTCCCTGTGAGTCTGTATCACTTGTTGGCCACAAGGGTGGTTGCAGCGACGGATGCAGTGCCCTCAGCAGAGGAGGTGTGGCTTAATGGCAGGAGCAGCCTCTCAGAAATGAGACCCATGATCTGCCCCTAACTGGCTATAATGCCCTGGGCCAGTTAATCCCACTCAGCCTACCTTCCCTGTCATAAAATGAAGATCTCTAAAGTGCTTTCCAGCCTTTAGAGTCTGTTTCTTTGGTCTTCACTGAGAGATGAATTTGTCATAAATTGTAGCATGAGGGACTTAGGTGAAATTTTGGGTACCATTCATTGAAATGGGTGTACGAAGATTTGAAGATCCTCTTCTCAAAACCATACACTAGGTCATCATTAAGTACTCTGAAGAAATGGTGAAGGCAGGCCAGCCTGCATCCCAAGACATTACCTGCCTGGAAGGTACTCTGATGTCTAGGAGTTAAAGCCTACTCTGTGGTCTCTGCCAGCTTTAACATGACGGGATTCTTTTATGGTTGGTTCTAAGGATGCTGGTCTGCAAAGGAGAAGGAAGAGAGTACCTTGTTTCTGTCCTGCTTTTCGATTTCACATATTAAGAGATATTCAAAAAAATCTCTTAATTTTTTGCAGAAGCCCTATTACTCCAACAACAGGAGTCATAATCAATGCAATAATGGTCCAGAGAATATTATGTTGTTCTGTTAAATTGTTTTAGAAAAATCTAGCTCTTCTGCGTAGAGATCAACTTAAACATTTTGGTTCATGGTCCACTAAAAGGAAAAACATTTGTCTTTGGTTTGAGGTTCAGTGAATTGGTGCTCTTCATTTTGATTTTTAGTCCATACTGCAAGTTTCCACTCTGGAATGGAGTCTCGGACCGAACCCCTTGGCTTTCTGGAGATAGGATTGAGAACAGTGTTCTGAGTTTGCCTTTACAATTTTAAAGCAATCCCTAAAATACATCGTTAGACCTATGTCCTGAAGTGTTTTCCCCAGCTTCGCATTCTTTTGGTCTCATGCCTTAAACACTGTTTGAACACTGTGTTCAAAACAAGCAGGCTTGTGATGTCCTCATCATTAGTCATAATCAAGGGCAAGTCTAAGGTTAACTTCGAGGGGGAGGAAGGAAGTAGACAAGAAAAAATGTAACTGCTTTCTGATCCTTTGGATTATTCTCCTTAAATTAGAGACCTCTTCTTCCACTCCTCCGCACGGGGAGAAGGGTTGCCTAGCTATTGAGTTTTTGTTACATTTCCTGTTGTATTTCTAAATCTCAAGGAGATACTCCCCTCTTCCCTTGTCCTTGTCTGAGACTCGGACAGCAAACATGGAACAGTTCATCAGAACTTGTGATGAGAGGAGGTGAAAAGGCATATGTATTTGATATTGGGGTGAAGATGTTGTGACAATTATTTAACCTGGCAGAGAGCATGGTCCTGCCCAGCTGTGGTTGGCTAGAGTTCTTGCGCTACAAAGGCAGCAGATGGCAGCAAAGTAATGCCAAATGCAACTTCCTCCTCTGCAGCCACTTCACATGGGCTCAGATTTGTTGGATTTCAGAGGCCTGTCAAGAGAGCAGGTAATTTACTTTTGCTCTGTTGCCTCCCTCCTTAACCATACTTTCCTCAAGTAACAGAGTTTTTTTTTTTTTTTTGAAAGTTTGACCAGATTATTTGGTTACCTAACATCTTTCATGTTTCTCCTATAGAAATATTATTCATCTGTGCTGGAGGAAGGAGGGGCAGCCCACGTCTCTCGTTATCACAGAGGGAAGTCAGCAGTGCATTTGTGCTGGGACATGGGGAATGGCCAGGTATGTATCCTCAGCTCCCTGTGCTGTGCCCTCTGCTCCCCTTCCCTCTCTTAACAGAATTCTTTTCCTAAAATGTCAGGAAATAAACTATTAGTAATGAACAATTACAGGCCTCTCACTACAAACTTACTTGCTTTTTATCACATGTTCTGGAGAAGCCAAAGATTCTACTTGTTGAACTGATACAGTAGAAATTCATTGTTGTTTTTGGAGGAGGTGTGTTGTTTTGTTTTTTTCTTTTTAAACTCCCACTAGTTCTACTCAAAGGTAGCAAACTTAAGTTCAGAGTCTGACCCACAAGTTGGATTCCTAACTTCTCTGGCCTGCAGGTTTAGGGAAAGGACGGGAGAGAGGCCCTAGGGATACGCTTGAGGGCTAGATGCACACTGGGAGGTTCCTTCTGTTTCCCTGGCCTGAGATGTGTGGAGCCACACCAGAGCCTGAACCCTAGGTTCCATTTTCTGGCCTGACCCTAACATGGGGTTACATGTAGACAAGAGACATTCTTGGGATGTCCTTCCATTCCCTCCTATAAAACGTCAGTTGGTGCCTCTGAGGGAAATTCCATCTTTCCCCGCTATTACCCGGACTCTTGGGAGAAGCACACAAGAGAATTTTGTTTTCTGAGAGCTCATTAAGTGTTTGTCACTGTTGCACTTTAAATCTCCAATCTAGTCCCCATGTTGCAGACTAGGGAACTAAGGCTTAGAGAGATCAATCTGCCCTTTTCAGTAAAAGCAGGAGTTAGGATTCAAATTCTGGTCTGACTCCAAAGCTCATATAAAAAGTATAAAAAGCAAGCATGGTAAACATCTGACTACAACTACCTCACAGAATCCACTAAAAGCCATAATAACTTAGATGACAACTTAGAAGAAACTGACAGAACAATTGTTAGTTGTTCCTAATAAACTAAGAGAAAGTTTCTCTTTACAATCCAGAAATCAGAGTCTGGGCACTGATCAATGTTTGTACTTGTCTCTCCAGAAAAAGGAAACCTCCCTTGATCTTGGAGGCATCTCTCAAGCATCAGAGTGTGCTCTAGCAGCATCCCAGCCTGTAAGTACACATCTCCTCATTGTTCTGGGCTTCACCACCCGTGCAATTCCATGAACCCACTGAGTCGGTTATAGGGTTCTTTATTCCAGACCTACAGTATTTTTATGTTGGGACGTTCCAGTCTTGAGAGTACAGCATTTGGATTCAGTGTAAAATTATGTCTTTTTGGTATCCTTCCTTCACTTGAAGCTTAAGGGATACTTTTTGTGACTGAACTCATAGTTGTGGTTGGAAAGAATGCAAAGTATTCCCTTCTCAGTTCCTACAGCTCAGCTGGGCTGGCACTGGCTCCTGCTGGAATTCCACCATCTGTTCAAGCAGCAGGAGGGGCCTGACCCTCCTGCTTACAAAGTGAAAACCATTGCTGAAATTCTGAAACATACAAATTTGGTTAGCTCAAGTTCCAGAACATTTGAAGGGATTTGTTCTCATTTTCCACAAATATTTCTCTGTTAAAAACACAGTGATGAGTTTCTCATTTTTAGGATAAAGAAGTACTCATTAGTTCATGAACCCAGGAAAGTTTTGGGAACTTGGAAGGACTGGAATTCAGAGGAAAGGAACTCCAGCATGTTGCTGTGATAGTTTGCTTAATCTTTGTTTGTATATTACCGTGCTACTAGCCAAGATTCAAAATATACTAGAGTTAGTAACAACCAAGAATGTTCTACTTCTAGTACAAATATAAGTTAGGCCAAGATGCCTCTCAGACTTGCTGGATTTTGGTAATGCTAATCTTCCTGATACTCATGATGGTGGAATCACAGATGCCAATCTTGACCCCGTATTTCCTTTTATGCAGACAAATGGAATATCTTTCGCTTTCTGCAATTCTGATAGAGCTGTATATTCTAAAATCTACCTTTGTGTACTTATGTGGTCAAAGACCAATAAAGAGTTGTGGCGTAGTCATACACCTTCATGTCAGTTAAATGACAGGTAAATAAGACCAATTTTGCAGTAACTGGGGATGAAAGGCTAGAACATAAAGCAGCTTTGGAGAAAAGTTGGCTTTAAATCTATGCAAGGTGGAGGATGGGGAAGAAGTTTCATGAAAGTATAAATATTGCCATTTAGTCCTCCTAAAGTTTGCTGGCCTGGGTGTGGTGACAGAGATGACAGCTGCCGCCTGTGGCTCCTTCTGAGCAGGGAGGAAGTTCGTGGGGGGTTCCCAGCTGTGGGATAGCAGCTCTTAATTACAGGCTCTCTTCTGGTTTGCAGCTTTGCTCTCAGCCATTTGGACTGACACCCCTTCTCTGCCTGTACTTCCGCCCACTTCCCAGTCATGTGTCAGGTCTGTCCTTGAAAGATGGGTTGTGCTGAGCACAGCTTTAAACACAAATCTTCCATTAACTCCAGCTTCCAGTGTTTTGTATTATAGGAGCACCAGCCCGCTAAGGGAGGGCTCTGGCCAGCCGGCTCCTTGCTGCATGACAAAATGGAATCAACTCACAGTGTGTTCAGCTTTTGGAGAAAAGAATATTTCATCTTCCTCATAATGAATTTAGCAAACAAAGCACAGTTAGAAAGATTCCCATTATTCCATGGTACCTTGTCATTATTGCTGCTCTGTGCTAACAAGTCCCACTGTCTGCTTTTGAGCCCCCAAACAATGATCCCCTTTTCCTCTACCTAATTCCTCTCTTTCTACAACCAGGAGTGTCCCTTTTATGACCCTTCATGTTTGTATAGCATTCTAGCACTTGCCAGGTGTTTTCACGTACATGTTTATGAAAGTACATGTGGTACTTACTACCACAGCTTTAGAAATAAGGAAACAAGCACAAGGAGAGGCTGAGACTTACCTAAGTGACTTTCCTCTTGTCTGGCCAGGCCGAGCCTTGAAGCAGGACCTCCGTCTCCCACACCAGTGCTCCATTCCACTGTGCTCCTGGCACACCAAGGTCGCCTGGTAGAGGTGCTCTGACGGCATTGTGACCTCTAGTCTCAACAGCTAATACCTGCTTTTCCTTGCAGGCTAAGAACATCTCTAAAGACCTCTACATAGAAGTATATCCAGGGACCTATTCCGTCACTGTGGGTACAAGTGATTTAACCAGGACTCAGGTGGTAGCAGTTGACTCGGGACAAAGTGTGGACTTGGTCTTCCCCATATGATGTTGACCATCATGGCTATCACATCACCTTTTTTTTTTTTTTAAGTAACAAGAAGAATAAAGTCACCGTATGATTTTCTTCATATTTACACAGTAATCCTGCTTTCAGGGCTGACTGTAGAGGGTCAGCCTTTCTGGGAACTGGAGTTTGTGCCTTTCAGTGTCTATTTTAACTTAAATGTCTAAGACCCCCCTCCCCCTTCTGCTGAAAGTAATAATGTAATGATGCTGTCTTAATAGTTCTTAACTGCTTATTTTCCAGGTAAAAGGTTAACTGTGGTAATAAAGGGAGAGATTTGGAAATGAAGAGAGTTCCTTTTTATTGGCATGAAGAGGTGAAACAGTGTCGTTCATGGTCAGCTGTAGGTTTATGAGAAGGTGGCAGAGAGGCTGTGGACACATTTGCCCAAAGCAGACCAACCAGGCCCTGCAGCTTCTGTGGAAGAGAAGTAGCTCCGCCGAGGTCCCTCGCGGGGAACCCTGGCCAGGACCACCGCGTGCCTTTGCTCCTCATCTGCAGGGAAGTTGTAGAGTGTGAGGTTGCAACTGCTTTTGCACCCATCACATGTGGCCTGCCTCTCTGTCCCCGTCCATTGCAGGAGGACTTGGCAGCCACTTAGTAACACCTCCTCAGGTATTTATCACTGCTGCTCTTTTAGCTTCCTATAAGGAAAAAAAATCCTGAGAGTCTGATGCTGTAATTTTAAGGATCAAAAGTCACTGATCTTAAAAAGTCTATGGTGTGCCCTGAACTTCTCGAAGCTACCAAGCCAATAGCAGTTTAGTTGCCTGGTAGTTCATCTCATTGTGAACATGACAAGTCTGCCCTCAGAACAAATGCCAGTATTTTATATGATGAAAACCAAGTTTTAAGTAGAGCTGTATTAGCATTCCTAATGAGGAACAGACTCCCACAGACAGAGGCTGTAGTCCAGCAGACCCATCCCCTTCACCATAGGGTCAAGTGTCATTTAAGTAAGAAGTCTGTGCTCAGCTTTGTGGGTTCTGTAAGCCTTCTGAACTGGAATGCAGAATTGTGGGTATGTGCATTTTCCTGGGAAAAGACAGCGCGGGAGTTCTCAGTTTCAAAAGGGGCGTGGAGAACCATGTCAGGAGTCCTTAGGGAGCCCCTTCCCAGCCATCCTGCTTTTTACCTGGCTCCTCAAGGCTTTTGGTCTGAGAGCATTCTGGTTCCTCTGGTGTGTCGCTGTTGCCTGACTTTGTTTTCTGTGTTCATCTTGTGGCAGGATATGTGGTGGCTTCACGCCACTTGCTTCCAGGACCAGCTCCCTGGTATTCCCCATCACTATAGCTTGTACTCTTTGCTCTTTGTTGCTCCTCTTTTCTTTCCAGATGGTGCCATTTCCTGCTCCTAAACCCGAAATTCAATTAGTTATGTCGCACATGCCACCATGGGATTAGTCTTGATGACTGAAGTAGAACTATATGTCAGATATCCCAAAGCTCTTAACTATCTGTAAGCTACCTACCACTGTTCTCTATTTTGAAAGAGAAATAAAGTTTAAGTCATTTCTGGCCATCATGCTTTCTGGATGGGTTGTATCCAATAACTACATTTGGAATTAGGTGGGAAGAAGGTACCAGACGCAATTTTCAAAACAGCCAGGAGGGTAAGCAAAAATAGCCAACTGGCACTCTTGCAGGAGCTTGTAAATCTCCCTGCTCACAAAGAAGAGGTAGTGAGCTCTGGGGGTGGGACAGGGTTGGCAGGGTGTGTGTATGTTAAGAGGTTGAGTGAGGTAAAACAAAATAATGGGAGATGTGACTCCCTGGGGAGTAGGAAAATAATCTGAAAAGGAAGCACTATTGAATCCATCCTCTTCCTGGCTTATAAAACTACAGATTGAGCCCTGTTTCAGTCATAAGCTCTCCAGGGAAGAGAGCAGAGTAACTGGGGGCAGCCAGCAGCCTGGCCCTTCTAGAATTGTTAGGTTGGGATCAAAGGGAATTCGAAAGTATCAAAGAGCGTGGAGGGCAGAGAGACCCACAGTGGGTGTCTCGAAATCTTAAAGCCCTTAGCAGTGGTACTCTTTAACCACACTGCCTCCCTGCCCCAGACAGAATGTTCATTTAGTTCACTGAATGTTAGTGACCTCAAGGCCCCTAGAATCTAGTCTAGGTCTGGGCTTAGCCACCTCTGCCAACTGACTTAGGCATCTGCTTTCTGGGCCTCACTGGGAATTAAATGGGACAGGCATGATGCATGCCAGTGACACACAACTTCTAAACCTATGAGGGAATCAACATGGTTCTTAAGGGGAAGATGGGGATGGCTATCGATGGCCAATGACAGTAACACTGCCCCATCTTGTAAGGAATGAACAGCAGGATGGAGTGCCCTGCTTGTTCCCACTCTGGTTTACTATGGGGACCATCTGGAGAGTAGGGTCTGGTGACCAATGAATGTTTAAAGACTAATTTCTGTCCTCTCAGGGCATGGGCAACTCTAATCAACACCCGGAGGCATTTTGACTGTTCATCTAGAGAAAACTCAAGGGCTCCAAGAAAAAAAGGCAGGGGGCGGAGGTGGGGGGCAGGCACAGACAATGGCAGGGCCCCTGCAGGAGAACAGTGAAGAAGGGAAAGACAGTTGTTAAAGAGGGATGCAGACCTTCGCCGAAGATCAGCCCATCCTCTTACTGGGGTTTATTGCTCAGGTGGAAACCTACTACTTTCCCTTTATCACCACCTCCCCATCAACGTGGCCACGCTCCTAAGTGTTATTTCCAATCCCCAGACAGGACATGCATGAGTGAGATTCCTAAGAGACACGGGGGAGGGAAGGGAGCAGGGTCTTCAGCTCCACCTAAGAGGTAGGTATACCTAGCTTCCCAGGATGCGGCTCAGACCCGTTTCTCCAGTATCTCCACCCAGGCTGGCGGAGGCCACCCTGCCTCCTTGGACACTTCTCAGGAAGGACGAGGTCTGTGTTGACTGTACCGTCCACCATCAGCCTCTGGGGGAGGCCCATCTGCAGATCAGTCTCCAAATCCTTTTCAGAAGATGAAGAGGAGGAGGAAGAAACACCCAGGGGAGCTCGCACGGAAGCTTCATCTTCTTTAGGATGCACTAGGGGCAAAAGCTGTGTTGGGGGCTTCGGTTCCACCTCCGAACATTCTTTGGCTGTGCCCCCTGAGGTCCTGGTTAGAGGCCACCAGGTAGGTCCAGCCAGGGAGCAACAGCAGAGGCAGCCCTGGCACAGCAGTTGGCAGCAGGCGGGGGGGACACAGGGAGGACATGGGAATGGAGTGCCCAGAGAAGGCCCACTGGTGACACATCCGGTGGCTGGTCCCCACAGAGAGCAGCAAGGGGCCCAGAGGAGGGGCCTGGGGTGCTCCTGGATTAAAGGCTTGTGCAGCCTCTCCACAGCCTTCTTCCAGACAGCCAGGGGCACCCACTGAACCCTGCCTAGAGGCACGGTCGCTGTGTTGCCATTCCAAAAGTGAACAGTAATTTCTCCTCCTTTTGATGCTGTGTAACAGAAAGAGCAACATTTTGTTACAATTACCTCTTCTGTGTCATGGACAAGGGTTCTCCTAACCCCCAAAACAAACCTCAGTGCAGGCCCCTGCTCTGTGGGCCTCCTCGAGGGCACCTCTCCCTGGAAAGCCTGCCGGGAGCATTCCTGCACCTGCTCCATTCAGCCACTTCCCAGTGCCCTTGCATTTACCTCCCTGTCTCAATTTTCATGGGGAAAGAGGAGAAGCCTGTCATGCTCTGAAAGACAATGATGCTGACTGGTGGGCCTGCAGGAGGGGACTGTCCCAGTCTGTGGATAACTTGATGGGGGACCAGTCATAAGTACTGGTGTGAGCCCAGCTTAACCCCGTCACACCATAGGTTAGCTAACCAACATAATAGTTTTAGGCTATTTTGCCTGGATATTTCATAATCTGAAAGATATGATTTGTGTATCTGTTGCCACACCCAGGATTAAGCTGCTAGTAGGGGGTAAGGATTTTTTCTTTTTCTTTTTTTTTTTTTTATATCTCTAAGGCCCTAAGCTCACCTCTAAGACATTTTTTGCTCTCTCCTACCAGCCTGGCTCCCTCTGGGGACCGATAGGTCAGAGCAGCTTCCCTTACCTCGCTGGGGCTCTCTTGCCTCCGAGCCCAAGAGAACAGTGCCAGGGCCGTACCGCTGTTGGTCTGGCTCCCAGGGTGCAAGCACCTTGTCCCCAGGTTCCAGTGAGTAGCCCATGGGTGGCAAGCACTGAATGACATCCTCTTCTAAGACCATGCTCTGCCACTGGGCTGGCAGCTTTGGGTCTGTGATGAGGGGAACCTCAAATTCCACAAGCAGAGCCCCCTGTCTCTCCAGCTGTGGAAAAGAAAACACAATGAGATCTGGCATTAGGAAGTGGAACAGGGAGCACCATGGTTCCCTGCAATGCCCTAGAAACAAGCCCCAGGTCCTCCTTAAAACAGTGAGAGCCATCTAGGGAAAGGACAGAGACAGATGCTGCTTAGAGCTGATTGTGGCAGAGACAGGCAGGCTGTACTGTGGATGCTATGCTCTTCCCTCTACCTCCTTTTGCCATGGGCAACTCATGTTTGTCACTTCCTGCCATTCCTTTCCGTTCTCTTCCTCTTCCTGGTTTTCTTTGCTCCTCTATATATTTGGTCTGCAATTCCCAGGGATAACCTGGGTCCTCTGGATCTTTCCCCAGTGTACTCCTCCTCCTCTCAGCACCTCTGGAAAGTGTTTTCCCTGCGTCCAAGACCAACCAGAGATAGTGTATTCATCCACAGGCCCACACAGGCAAAGAGTAGCTGTGGCCTAACGTGAAGGCAGCCCTTGGCACTGCCATCACCTCAATGTGGAGAGGTTTGGCTAAGCAAATGAACATCATAAAAGGGAGGGCAAGAGGAGCCTTTAAGCTGTTTTGAAAAATCAGTATGATTTTGAAGAGAAAGTCTGGTGACAAGTTACTTTGATCACCAGACAGCCTATTATTTGAACAAAACTCTGCTAATATTTCATTGGAATTCACATATTAGTTATTTGAAAACAACAAAATGACTTTTGAATGGAAATTCTATAATTCAGTTTTTTGGAATTCACACTTGTCTTCCTTCCATGAGTCCACATTCGCAAAGTCTGACTCCGAGAAGAGAAAAATCCCAAAGAAGTAAACAGCCACTGAGGTAAAGTACAGGCCTGGCTTCCAGCACGCGGGGGACCAGGCACAGAGGCAGGCATGTGGGCACGTTTTGTTCCTCTTTCCCCTAGGCTGGTGCCCAGCACTCAACACATTGAATTTTCCTTAACAAAGCACTTTTTTACTGTAAATTTTCTTCACTGTCACAGGTTCACTTGTATCCCTCCAAAATTCATCTATTAGAATCCTAACCACTAGTACCTCAGGTTGTGACCTCTCTTGGGAACAGGGTCATTTCAGATATAGTTAGTTAGGACAAGGTCATACTAGGCTGAGTAGGGTCGGTGCCTCATCCAGTGACTGATGTTCCTATATATAAAGAGGAGAAATTTGGACACAGACATGCACAGAGGGAAGATACCATGTGAAGATGGGGCAAAGATTAGGGTGACATTTCTACACACCAAGGAACATCAAAGGTGGTCAGCAAGCCACCAGAAGCTAGTTAGGAAAGGCAGACTCTGCCTCATGGCCCTCAGAGGGACCGACACTGCCAACACCAGTCTCCAGAACTGAGAGACAATAAATCTCTGTTCTTTAAGTCACCTCATTTGTGCTACTCTGTTACACAGCCCCAGCAAACTCACTGCCTTTACATTTCCCTTCTAGAACCTGACCATGAAAGACGTATGCTTATCCAAGAAACCGTACTGCTGGGCACACACAGCTGGAGCGTGGCAGGTATGACAGGGCCACCCTGAGGAGTGTCCTGGGAGATGTGAGGAACTTGCCTCTGGAGCAGCCTTTCTCTGAGCCCGGTAATAAAAGCCATCTGGTCCCCTTCTCGCCAGGACCCATGTGTCAGCAGCATCTCCAACTCTTCCCAACCAGCCAGGCCCCTGCCATGCTGAGTCAGCAATGTGGAGACATGGTTGGTAAGATACATATCTGGGAAAAAGCAAATAGAATTAGGGAGTGGAGAAAACCAAGCCCTAAAAACATCAAGAAACACATTTCACGGGACACCTGGGTTGCTCAGTGGTTGAGCATCTGCCTACGACTCAGGTCATGATCCCAGAGTCCTGGGATCAAGTCCCGCATTAGGCTCCTCGAGGGGAGCCTGCTTCTCCCTCTGCCTATGTCTGTGCCTCTCTCTCATGAGTAAATAAAACCTGAAAGAAAGAAAAAAGAAAAGAAAAGAAAGAGAAACCTTTAAAAAGAAAGAGAAAGAAAAAGAAAAGAAAAAGAAAGAAAGAAAGAAAGAAAAGAAAGAAAGAAAGAAAGAAAACACATTTCACAGATCTGAGCAGCACAGCAGTAGGCATGTGACATAGGTGGCTATGTGGAACAGAAACCCATGTAAAAAGTGGCTGGTGATCTAGGACTTCCAGTAAAACAAGATAAACTGCTGGAAAGGGCAGAAGGAGAGGACAATGAAGGAAACTACCATTTGGGGATTGAGAATTGCATTAAGGTCATCAAAATGTGATTAGCCTGGATCCTTTCAAGTGAATAAATCCTGGTTCTGAGGCTGAACAGCAGTCCAGGAAAGAGCGCTGGGAGGTAAATCCAAAGGCAGTGTGGGGGAATCCAGGACGAGGTATGGTGTTTGGATAGCTGTACCAAAAGACTAACATTGGAAGGATGCTTGATGCTATGGGATCAGAAGGGAGGAGGAAGTGTTTGAGCAGGGGAAGCACAGAAGAGCTGGCCAAGGGACTGAGAGGAAAAAAGAGAAGCTATTCCTGGAAAGGTTTGTGGGCCGGGCCAAACCAGGGCTGTAGAGGGGTGGATTATTGAGTCAGGGTTTGGTTTTCTGAAAAAGCTGTTTACTTTGTGGGCAAGCCTGGAAGCAGGGACATTTAACTCTGGCTTTGAACAAGATGGTCCCCATAGGTGAATCCAGAAAGCGGGTTATTAAGGGTTCAAACTGGCATGTCCCTATGTGAGTGGCATGGACACAAGCGAGTCCCTGGAACTTACATCACTTGTATATGCTTGAGGGCTGAGCTTCCTTTCCCTTCTGCAATCACACTTTACACAGCCCACTGAGGATTTGATTCGGGAAAGGCCAGGATAACTGAAGGTTACCGAGGGAACCTGAAGAGGTAACTGGCCAGCTTGCCTTAGCTGGTTGCAGAAACCCTAATTTTTCACGTGGTGCCAGGGCTAGTCTCATAGTTGGTGGTAAAATGAGCTAGAAACTCTTCAACTGGCGATGTCTGACTGCTTCTCTCACCCATGCCAACTCTGACATCTGCCACCTTGCCTCAGAGTGCCAAGGGAGTACAGTTTAGACTGGAGTCATGTAAGACCACAAGCAAACCATAGCCTACACAGGAAAGAACCTTTTCAGCCTTCCCAGGAAGCAAGTTCTACCCCTCATGGTACACCATCGAGAGCCAAGAACAGAGAGGAACAAGAGGGGCGCACATCACTTCTGCCAGAGGTTGCAGGGACTTGTACCTGGTGAGGAGGTTGTGCCGGGTGAGCCAGGGTGCTTGGATGGCAAAGGGGCAGGTGCAGGAGAGTTCCCAGGGAGGAGCAGGGCCAGTCCAGGAAGAGGGCTTCAGGGTTGTGGCCATACTGCAGTATTTGGGCTGAGGCGTCCCAGTCCCTGCAGAGGATTCCATGGCCTTGGGAGAAACCACCTGAGAACAAGCACCACCATTGAGTTGCAGCGCACAGCCCAGCAGAGGGCAACTGGCTGGCGCAGGGCTCACTTCTGGGGTTAGCAGACCCCACCTGCTCCCACAGACGAGCTCAGGCTGTTCTCTGAATCATCTGCCTTGGAAACTTCAGCTCAAGAAATAGGGGAGGGCTTGAAAGAGCAAGAGTTGTGACTTTAGAGAAACCCAGCTCTGAATCCTTGTATGCTCACGTAACCACAGCGCTTCGGTTATGGCTCTGGAGATGATATATGGAAAGCACCTGGCTGATAAGTAGCTCAATAGATGTTAGTTTTTTCTCCTCCCCAGTTGTAGGGACTCTGGGATAAAACAATACTTCCCTTCACAAATATGGTTGGTCTAACCCTAATAACAAACCCCCAATCTGAGCCAGACTCCCTTCCTAATCCAGTGACCTCCAGGACTAACACTAGCCCCCGCTGATATCCCAAGGTCATGTCCTTCATAGACCTGTTCAGACGTGACGGGTTGACACCCAGGATCCAAGATCACACTGCTGCCCCAGCCCACCAGAGTTCTGTTAGGGTCTGCCCCTGCCCACGTCCACAGGTCTGACCCCAAGGGGACTTACTCACAGCCCCAAACTCCTCCACTTCAGCCTTCTGACAGTTGGGGCTCAGGGCCTTAGCCCAACGGACTCCTGGTTGCCAAGCAGGTTGCCATGGATGCAAGCCAGCAGGAATGCTGTGGACTGAGTGAGTGTACTGAGCATGTGCAGAGGGATGGCAGGGGGGCTGTGGGGGCCGTGGGTAGGACAAGGGGGCAGAGGGTTTCCCTGGGGAAAAGGGGAGATGGGATGTTGGAGAGAAAGGTCACTGCACCCTCAATTCCCCAAAGCTCAGGCTTCCCCACTACTGGAAGAGGCAGTCCTGGTGGGAAGCCTTCATGAATCCCAGGGAGTCCTGTGAGGGAGGGAGCTGCCCCTGCCCAGACTAAGGACTAAGGACTATCGATCTGCCTCCATCCTGTGCAGACAGGAGGCTAGGTTAGGTGAGCCACTGGCTGGCTGAAGGACTCTAAGATAGACTTGGTCTGTAGTTTAAAGCAAAGTAGTCAGATATGGGCATGTTGCTTGTCTGTAACAGAGAGGACCCTGCTGAGGAGCAGAGATGTGGTGACTACTTGGGGGTGATGAGAGTGGACACTGGTGACAAAGGGAACAGAAGTCTGGATTCTGCTCTCATTTGAACATCCATGGGACAGGCTGGTATTTTGAGGCATCTGACAGTCATTGTATACTTGTTATGTGCCTGGCACAGTGTTCAGGGGAGAATACCAAAAAGTATGCAGGGACATTTGTGCATGTTTCCCCCACATCCATTCCCCTCTTCCAACACTTCCTGTTTCCTTTCGCAGGTCCATTGGTAAAAGAGGCTGACCGTTATCTCCAGCTCCACAGGTAGAACGTGTGTTAATCGGCACATTCCATGCTCCAGTTCCACTCTGGGGATTGGTTAGGTATGAGTATGTCCCCCAGCCTCTCCAATCAGAATAAATCTCAAGATTTGTGTTGGGAATCCTGGATTATAGACTTTCTCTTTTCTCCTACACATAAGAAAGGACATCGTTCTAGGAGCCTCTGACTGCCTTTTTGGGGCACTGAAGCTATTCCCAGAGAAAGGGAGGATAGGCCTAAACAAAACAGGTTCTTGGTGACACTGTTGAGCCCTGCCTGAAGGCAGCTCTATAGCTAGATGCTTCCATTATGTGAATCTTTATTGATTATACAAATTGGGATTGTATTTTCTCCTACTTGCAACTAAAAGCATCTTAACTGATGACTGCCCTCACACAGCATAACCTACCAGTCAGGAGAATGACTGTTGCTAGGGACCACATAGATAAAAGCTGAGTTATTTGTTGCACAAAGTTGGAGTCCAAGAAAGACCAATGGAGTCTCTGGCAGTGAGAGAAGGTCACTTACTTCTGAATAAGACAGGTGGGATTTCAATGATAAGAGGGAAAAAGGAGAACATTCTTGTTTAGGAGGCTAGAGCGAAGAGAGAAGGATTCATTTATAAGATTGCTTTTCTCTTTTGGAGGAAATGGGGTGTCTTGAGAAAATCAAGGTGTGACTGTTTGGAAAGGGGCCATATTGGTGGGAGCTTTGCAAACCCAGCAGATAAATGTAAACAACATAGTAGTCAAAAGGAAGACGTCAAGGGGTTTGAGCAAGGAAGTGACATGAAATGCTTTAAGAAAAAACATCAGAGTGAGAATGTAGCCAGTTAATTCTTGAGCCCAAGAAACCAGAGAGGAGACTGTTAACAGTGACCAAGATAAAACATGACAGGATTGGAATAGAAAAATAGTAACACCAAATATTTACACACAACATATACCTGATTTGAGGCTCTTTACTGAGTGCTAGGAATGTAGGGAGAAATAGGCCTGTCCCTATGTACTGAAGAGATAGATGTGTAATACAGTGTGTAAAGATAGTAGAATGGGAAGTGCAAGGAAATATGTGTACAAAATAAATGAACGAGTAATGGCTGGAGTGGGAAGACTTCACAGAGATGACACTGGAGATGAATATGCCAATATATGGAAAGTCCGGGCTGGGCTTGGCCACAGATGGGGCTCGGGATTCAAGGTGGAAGTCACAGGAATGGATATAGAGACATTTTGAAGGCAGAGTCCAAGATATGGGGCAGTGAAGGACAGGCATGGCCCCTGTACATTTTCTGGCCAGAATAACCTGTAGAATGATGATGCTATGGATAATAGAAGATTCTACTACTACTACTAATGGTTATGCATACTTATGTGTCAGGCATTGTTAATTCTCCAAACAATAAGGGGAGAATCGTTGCTCTTCTTATTATTCTCATTCTGTGGATGAAGAACTGAGACATGGAGAGGAAGGAGCAGAGTCATAGTTTAAACTGAGGCAGCTTGATTTCACAGACTGCGATAGCCTTCTTAACTAGACTAAGCTGCCTAAAGAAGTCTTCTGCATGCAGGGAAAAGATGACTGTAAAATAATTTCAAATCACAAGATTTTGTTAGCTATCTTTGCTTCAGTCTTGGGGTACTTTCTCATCAGGACATGGGTAAGGTATAAATATATAGATTTCCTGTCAACCCCAAATTATAACAAAAAGAACTACCAGACTCTGACAAACCAAGGGAGGTTAATTGTGATCATTTAGCATGAAATGTTTGCAAAGGGCATTATAAACATTGATTAGTCATTGATCAGACTTTACTATACTTTCATGAGAGTTTCTTACAGCTGAGACTCTGGCCCAGTGTGTGAGAAGGACAAGGTGAGGGGTATAGAGAATCCTGGGGACTCCTGCTCCTCTACAGTTCTTGAAAGAAATCACCAAAGCTTAAGACATATCTTCTCAACCCCCATAAGATCATGTTTTGTACATGTCAAACCCTGGTAGGAAATAATCAGCACAGGTGGACATTTGAGCTGTTATCTACTATGCAGAACTTATGTTTAGGAAAAACTATTGAATGATGCTGTAAGAGACTCCATTTTGTGAGATTATTTGTTTCTATTTGGAAACAATCAAATGATTCTGAAAATAGGGTCAGTGTGGTGGCTGGTGGCTGCCATAAGGGAGGAAACTTTCCCAGGGTTATTCTTGGTCTCAGCCTTATCAGGGTACAGAAGAGACTGCAGGTAATTAATATACTTGATGGCAGCTCTGAGAGTTTCCACTTTGCTGAGTCGTTTCTCCAAGTACTCCTCAGGCAGATGATGTCGGAGCTGGGCATAGCCTTCATTGACACACTTTACCCGCTGCCTTTCCCGTTCATTCCTTTTCCGGATAAAGGCTGGCCCATAGGAGTATTCACACCTTCTGTAATTTGGATAAGACATTGGGAAGGCGAAGGGGCAGGGTTCACCGTAATTTTCCATGATCAGGGAATCGCTGGGAAAAGGCAGCAATGGCAGATCTTCAGAGTAAGGTGACGGCACTGGGGCATCAGGATACAGGTGGAAAGTGACCATGGGGTCAAGATAGAAAGACCTGGTTAGTGGCAGGTGGGCAGATTCAGAGACAGCAGGCAGTTTTTCTGGCAGATTAGAGTAGCTTCGATTGTCCATCATTTCCTCTTTAGCCTGGAAACATAACCAAGTTTATTAATTTGACCAGATCAAAAGAAAGCAGATATTATGGACTTTCTGAGAGATCAATGTTTTAAAGCCTTCTCTGCTTTGATGAATACTTTCTGAGCTCATTCTGAAAACGATATGGGGTAACCATACTCTGTGGGTAGTAAGAGAGGATTTTTTATTAGTACAGAGAACCAACATTAAGTAACATTGACTCACTTTGTGAGAAAGTTATTCCTTTTCAACTCTTTCAATCCTGGTGATTACAAAGATACAGTTTTAATCTTGTAAGTGTGTGTGTGTGTGTCTTCCACCCTACTAGAATGCTTTCTGATCCTCCTTAGATGGAAGTCTTCAACAAATGATAGTATCTACTAGAATTTAATAATATTTTGCTGTTAATTTCTATTGTGAATTATATTGATTTCATGCTTATGGCAGTGATACAAAATTTCCTTTAAAAATATATCTGCTTGGAGGTGCTTGGGTAGCTCAGTCAGTTAAGCATCTGCCTTCAGCTCAGGTCATGATCCCAGGGTCCTGGGCTCCTTCCCAGCAGGAAGCCTGCTTCTCCCTCTGCCTCTGCCTGCCACTCCCCCCTGCTTGTGCTCTCTATCAAATAAATGGATAAAACCCTTTTTAAAAAAATAAAAATACATCTACATGAACAAATTGAGGGTTGCTGGGGAGGAATGTTGGGACGACGGGGTAACTAGGTGATGGGCATTAAGGAGGGCATATGATGTGATAAGCACAGGGTGGTTTGTGTGTGTGTGTGTGTGTGTGTGTTTTAGATTTTATTTATTCATGAGAGACGAAGAGAGAGAGACAGAGACATAGGCAGAGGGAGAAACAGGCTCCCTGGTGTGGGACTCGATTTCGGAACTCCAGGATCATGCCCTGAGCCAAAGGCAGACGCTCAACCGCTGAGCCACCCAGGAGTCCTGAGCACAGGGTGTTATATGCAACCGATGAATCACTGACCTCTACCTCTGAAACCAATAATACATTGTAGGTTAGTTAATTGAATTTAAATAAAATTTTAAAAGTACATCTACTTGATTAAAAAATGGCACTTCAAGAAAAATAATAAATAAATAACAGTACAGGTAGAACCCGGATAATAAACTCCATGAAGTGCATATAAGTAACTAAAGTTTGGGAAACACTGAAGTACCACAATATTCAATTACATGTTGGAGACAATACAAACAAGTTAATGATCATGCAAGCTCATGGGCATAGCCTTCTAAAATAATACCTGTTATGCCAGGGGCAAAACCAAAAATAAAAATAAGAAAGGAAAAAAAATAAGAAAGGAATCTTTTGCTTTTAAAAATTCACTTTTAAGATCCTTTAAATAGGAAACTCACCTAACCAATTTAAAACATAGTCAATTTACCTATTTTTAATATTTACTTCCACAGAACTTTAAATATATTGAATGAAGTGAATCTGTATTTAGTTTTTTTTTTTTCATGGAACATAAGGATAAAGCATTATACCCCAAGAGGTCCCAAACCAATACAGTCCTTTTTTCTGAATAGGTCTTCATGAATCTCATTTATTAAACCACCTTTTTACCTTTGACTATAATAATAAAACCACAACAGATATTACAAAGATGTTGCAGTTTAATTACTAAACTGGGAGGCAGGGTAGTGCCGTAGGAAAAAGAACGGTTTTTCTTTCAGTTACAACACCCCTGAGTTTCAATCTTGGCTTTGCGCCTTCCTAGCTGTGTGTCTTCAGTCAAGTTCCTTAACCTTTCTGAGCTTCACCTCTTTCCTATGATCAACTGAGGTTTTAACTATTCTGCAAGGTGGTTGTGAGGATCAAATGAAAAAAAAAAACATAATGCGTAGGCGTTAGTGCTTTTCCTCTTTCCTTTCTTTACAGATGAATACTTGTTCAGTATCCATTTCTGAACTGCACCCTACAGGAAAACCTGGCTTATATTTTCCCTAACACCGGAAAATCAAACACTGATCTATCCAAAGCATATTCGTTGAGAGATGACCATACCTAAAATGGAGAAGCAACAAGAAATCTGCCTTGGGCATCCAGAAAAGAGGGAAATATGACTTTCTGTTAATTCCTCAGGGTGTGATTTTTCAACATTTTTGGGAATGAGGGCTTGACCTCTATGCTTGGCATGTGTAGAGAAAACAAGGCCACTTTCCTCCCCCCAACCCTGTTTATGAGCAAGATTGGATAACATAGTCACTTGCTTCTCTACCTGAGCAGAGCAACAACCTGCAGCCTGGCGCCATGTAATGAGACGAGCCGCCAATATGCACTAGAATTCAAGTGCTGTGAAGCGTATCACTTTACGGTGTGAAAAAGCCTAGCCTATCTAGTATGGCTGCTGAAAGACAAAAATGACTGTGAAATCAGAAAGGGAAGTCTGCGATGGGGGATAAGGGGTGAGGGGCGGGGAGGGTGAGAGGGGAGGGTGAGAGGGGAGTGCGATAAGAAGTCATGGTGGGACACCCTGGAAAGGAGTAAATGCCAGGGAAAGCTCTTCCTAATAGGGGGCTGGGGTGGGGGAGCAGATGAGATAAATGTGAAAGGCTCAATTAAGAATCAAAACAAAGGAACAAGAAATGAAAGATTCCAAATTACTGACCAAATGGCCTAAAATATTTCACTTAAAACAAAAATCTCTGGAAGATTAAAAACTAGCCAAGATTCTGTCAAAAATAAAAAGTTGCTAAGAGAAAAGAGTTAGGGAATTCCCAAGACAGGAATTCAAGGGGGTAAGAGATCAAGAACATGTATGCCGGAAGCTACAAAATGATGGCACAATGGGGATGGAGCCTGTCTTTCTATATCTCTGAGAAAAGCAGAGCCTTATCTCTGCCTATGGCTAGCAAGCCAGAACTGACACAGCAGAGTATCAAAATGCAAAGCAGATGTCAGCAAAGCCAATTACACATAAGAATTCTTTAGGCATAGTTTTATCTTGACAGATAATTTTAATGTCTTAAACCTTGGCCCAGATGAAATCTGGGTAATTTATATATGCCATGGGTACTTAACATTTTCTAGGCTTTAAGTAGACTATGCATAATTCTTGGGTAAAAAAATTTAGTGTCTCTGTAGACACACTGTTGAGCAGCTTTTGTTATTGAGCATTTCCCAAAAGTTCATCAATCAGTGTAATGGCATTTAAATATGATCATCTTTTATTAAAAAAAATTAATCCCAACACAACAGAGAGAATGAAAAACTCAGTAGAGGATCAAGATAGAAAGCCTAGTGGAGGATGGAAGCGTTTGTAGAAATTGAATACAAGTTTTTAAAAGAAAGCAATATGGACTATTGGTGGTGGGGCTTTACAGTTCCAGATACATGCACAGCTAACTAATGCACCTATCTTGGGAAAATCTCAGATTTCTGTCTTCTGGGAAATAAATGATGAGGTCTTAATGATAAAATCCTAAGAGATTCTGGTAGTGCTGCTTGGCATAAAACTTCAACTTTTCAAAGGTATTAAAAATATCTAGCATGTAAAAAACAAAACTCTATAACTGCACATATAATTGACTTATGGAATGTTAGAGATGGAAGGAATCTTAGAAATCCTCTTATCCAATCCCTCAGACTGTGAGTTGGCTAAGCTTGCGGAGCTGTCAGCAGAGCAGGGGTCAGAACCTAGGACTCCTGATTTCCAAACCAAACCCTTCCCACTCCTCCAGATGATTTAATCACCAGCAAAATCTGAATCTTTTAACATATGGGCATATCTAATAGTTTAAGACAATGGAATCATCAGCTGATAAAATTCATCATTTATCAACTGTGCCTGGGAGTTTCCTTAAAGGCCATGTCCTTGTCCCCCCCCCCCCCAACCCCAATCATGGGCTACTCTGGAGAAGAGTCTCTTACCTGTTTTGTCGCTGAGATGCTGTATTTGGGCTGTGTCAGACTTAACCTGATTTATAAGTGATCATTTAGTAACTATATGCAAAGTAGCTTACAGTTAAACAGAACTGCTTAGTTCTGGTTTAGCTCTTTTTTTCTACCTAATATGTAGATATGACAACATAAAACAATACTAAATAGAAAGGTTTGCTTACAAAACTAGACTCTTGTAACATACTCTTTTGTAAAAACAACGCCTCCTCATTCATCTGGTTTATATGATTTTCTATCAAAATTACTTATGAAAAATATCTGTAAGTAATAGTCTCATAATGTTGGTCAATATTCTTTTCCGTAGAAGTTAAGGCCATAACCAGGAAGGTCAATATGAACCTAAATTTTATTAAAATATCTTTAAATTGTATTTTCCTCTACTTAGATCTTATTTTTGAGTAATTTTAGATGTACAGCAAAATTGAGCAGAAAATACAAAGAGATCCCATATAACCCTTTCCCTACACTTGTATCTCCCCCCAGTAATTTATTTGTTACAACTGATGAACCAATATTCATCAGTTGAATGAACCACACATCAGATGAACCACACATCATCACTCAAAGTCCATAGTTTACCTTAGGGTTCCCTCTTGGTGTTGTACATTCTATGGGTTTTAACAAATGTGTAATGACATGTATCCACCATTATAGTATCATACAAAATAGTTTTACTATGAAAAGCCTCTGTGCTCCACTTTTTCATCCCTCCCTGCCTCATGACAGCCACTGATTTTTCTTTTACTGCCTCCATAGTTTTGCCTTTTCCAGAATGTCATATAGTTGGAATCACACAGTATGTAGCCTTTTCAGATTGGCTTCTTGCACTAATAATATGCATTTAAAATTCCTCTGTATATTTCTGTGGCTCCATAGCTCATTTTTTAGTGATGGATAATATTCCATTGTCTGGATGTATCACAGTTTACTTATCCATTCACCTACTGAAAGACATCTTGGTTGCTTCCAAGTCTTGGCAATTATGGATAAAGCTGCTATAACTATCTATGTGCAGGTTTCTGTGTGGACATAAGATTTCAACTTATTAGGTAAATACCAAGGAGTGTGATGAGTGGATCCTCTAATAATTATTAAGAAACTGCCAAACTGTTTTCCAAAATGGCTGTACCATTTTTGCAGTCCCATTAACAATGAATGAGAGTTCCTGTTGCTCCACATCCACAACAGCATTTGGTAGTGTTAGTGTTCTAGATTTTGGCCATTTTAATAGGTATGTGGTAGTAGCTCACTGTTGTTTAATTTGTATGTCCCTAATGACATGATGTGAAACATCTTTTCATGTGCATATTTGCCATCTGTATATTTTCTTTGGTAAGGTGTCTGACCAGGTGTTTGGTGGCCCATTTCTAATCAGGTTGTCTTATTATTGAGTTTGAAGGGTTCTTGGTATATTTTGGGTAATAGAATTTTATCAGATATGTCTTTTGCAAATATTTTCTCCCAGGCTGTGGCTTGTCGTCTTATTTTTTTTGACATAGTCTTTCACAGAGTACAAGTTTTTAATTGTAATGAACTCCAACTTATCATTATTATCATTATTCCTTTCTTGCATGATTTATGTTTTAGTGTTTTATCTAAAAAGTTATCACCAAACCAAAGGCCATCTAGATTTTCTCCTATGTTATCTTCTAGGAATTTTGTGTTTTACGTTTAGGCCTATGATCCATTTTGAGTTTCTAAAATGGTGTAAGATCTGTGTCTTGCCTTTTTTTTTTTTTTTTTTGCATGTGGATGTATAGTTGTTCCAGCACCATTTGTTGAAAATACTTTTCTCCATTGTATATTGCCTTTGTTCCTTTGTCAAAGATCAGATGACTACATTTGTGTGGTCTATTTCAGGGCTCTCTGTTCTATTTATCTGTCCATTCTTTGGTCAATACCACACTGACACTGACTTGATTACTATAGTTTTATAGTAAGTATTGGAGTCAAATAGTGTCAGCCCTCCAACTTTGTTCTTTTCCATTAATATTGTGTTGGTTTTTCTGGGTCTTTGCCTCTTCATATAAAGCTTTAGTATCAGTTTGCTAATATCCACAAAATAACTTGCTGAGGTTTTGGCAGGGATTGTGTTGAATCCATAGGTCATTAGGAAGAACTGATAGCTTATGGAGTTATCCTAACCATGGATATGGAATATCCAGTTATTTAGTTCTTTGATTTCTTTCATCAGTTTTGTAGTTTTCCTCATATGTATTTTGTTAGATTTATAACTATTTCATTTTGGGGAGTGCTAATGTAAAAGTTATTGTGTTTTTAATTTTACTTTCTCATAATATATAAGAAAGCAATTGACCTATGAATATTAACCTTCTATCTTGCAACCTTTGTATAATCACTAGTTCCAGGGAGTTTTTGGGTTTTATCAATTCTTGTGGATTTTGTACTTAGACAATCATGTCATCTGTAAAGTTTTATTTCTTCCTTCCCAATCTGTATGCCTTTTATTTCCTTCTGTTATTGCATTAGCTAGAATTTGTAGTATGATGTTGTAAAGTGATGAGAGAGGGTATCCTTGCCTTGTTCCTTTTCTTAACAGGAAAGCTTCTGTTTAAGTATAATGTTCGCTGTAGGTTTCTGTAGATATTCTTTATAAAGTTGAAGGATTTCTCCTCTATTCCTAGTTTACTGAGGGTTTTTTTAAATCATAATTGAGTGTTGGGTTGTGTCAAATGCTTTTTCTGCATCTATTGATAGGATCATGTCATTTTTCTTCTTTAGCCTGTTTGCTGTGATAGATTTCATTGATTTTTGAATGTTCAATCAGCTTTGCATACCTGAGAATAAATTCCACTTGGTTGTACTTGAACTTACATCCTTTAATACTAACAGTAAAATCAATAAGTTTAGGTTAGGTTTGTAGATTTAAAAAGACTTTTTTACTAGCCAAAAAACCCACTAAGAACTCCTAAAACCTCAACCTTATTAATTTAATGTAATTTAATTATAATTTTTGCCAATAATTTTTAGAACAAGCCCTCCTTCGTGAATTTTTCTTTATGAATTTTAATCTCTCAATTTTTCAACATTTGTATACTTTCAGGGCCTGAATTTTAATCTCTCAATTTGTCAATATTTGTATACTTTCAGGGCCCCATCTAAGTACCCATACATTTTTTTTCTTTCTCCTTATTTCTTCACACACACATGCACACACAGATAATTTGGTACCCATATTTTATGATGAAACTGTTATAAAACAGTAGTCTCATAACAGAGTACCAAATGTCTTTGTATCTTCAAGTCTATCATATAGCAAAAGAAGAAGGAGAAACACTGGTGTTTTAAAAATTATTTTTATTATTACATTCCAAAGAGAACATAGGAGGAAAAAAGCCAGTTATCTAATAACTGTTATACCTTTCAGAGGGAGGCACCCAGAAAAGAACTCCAGTTTTAGTTCAAAGCTGCACACATTAGAGCTCAAACAGCTGCCTCTCCACCTGACCGGAAATGTTGACAAATGTGTGTATGTCACCAATCCAGAGACGCTTGAGGTTAAAAGAAAATTCCTTTATTGCAAATGTCCAAGTTCTTAGGATTCATCTTTAAAGATACTAGAAGATGAGAAAGACCACACACACCAGACTATGTTTAGTCATTAGAGTAAACTAGCAAATTGCTAGTTTGTTCTAGGATGCATTGCATCAGACATCACAGTACATGAGGAAAATCTGCATTTTATGAAGAGCCACCAGGTAGTTCAAATCCACTTTATCATGAAGTGCAGCCACAGGCCAACCAGATACCTAGATAATATAGTCAGTGCAAAATTCAAATGGGTAAGTCAGGGCTTTGATGAGGCTGGCTACACTGCAAAATAGAAATGAAACTTGAAAATAGAATGTTAAGTCTATTTACAAAAGTTTGTTTAGTAAAGTGACTTGAGAAAAGTTATGTTAGCCACTTCCCACGCATCCCTCCCCTTCCCTGTCAGGAAAAAAAGAAAGAAAGAAAAACACCTGAAAATTATCTTGAAAACCAAGTTAAAACTGTGTGGTGAGAAAGAGAGTGCTTGTTCCGGGTAAAGGACTTCAAGATAATTTACAGGCAGACTTATTTTTATTAGTAAAAGTCACAAATAGGAAAAAGGTTAATTGGCTGATTTTGAGGTGTGTGCTTTTAAAAATGTCTGTATTAATATGTTAACAAGAAAAGAAAATACCAAGCACATTTTTGTCTCCCAATTCTGAATTTGCCAGCAAGAGTTGGTGAAATCAGCAGGGTATTAAAACAAAATCCAGGAAAACTCAGTCAATTTTTTTCAGTTGTCTGCCTCATTTCTTTCTAATCACCTTCAATTGATTTCCAGTTAGCTGAGGACAACATGACGGTCAAAGACGGATTTTCGCTGCTCTTGAACTTGAAGCTTCCAGCGCTGCTGTGCATACTCTACCTTATTCAGCACATTGGCTCGACTGCGGGAGCGGGCCAGCACATCATGGGCATTTGCAAAAGGCTGGTGATCCTGAAAGTCCAAGAATGGAGAACATCAGAGATGGCATGATCAGTGTAAAACACACACACAATACAGTAATTATCCAGCCACAGATGGAAGCATCTGGACTTCACAAACAACAGACCATCTCTTTGGCCAAGCACTCCTAGGCACTCACATGCCAGAAGTAGGATGAACTCAAATACAGAAATAGGTGGTTCAAGTCGTTTGAGTGATGAGGAGGTATTTGTGAAATGTTTCCACAAGTCATCAGTTCCAAAGACATTTCCCTTAAGAAGCATGGACCAAGACAAAGACAGTGGTCATTTATGTTAAAGACCAGCCTTCCCTGACAACTAGGGGGAAAAAATCTATTTTCATGTTAATATCCAGGTTACAGATAGGGAAAGTAGAGCTTTTCCTTGCTGAATTCGATACTATATAGCTAATCTGGCAGAGGAAAAACTTGTCTTAATTTCCTGACTCCCATTATACTAGAATTATTACTTGCCACCTTGGGGCCACATTCACCCTTGGGAGAAGAGTTGATAGGATCTTGTCTTTTAATAATTCCCTACACCTTGAACACATACACTAAATGGACTGATTTCCAAAATCCTTTTCATTTCCACCTCCCCCAATCTGTAATGAAGAGACACAGTTTAAGCGCTACCATCACCCTCTATTACTAAGGACAGTAGGATTTATTCCATCAGCATTTTTATTAAACACCTGAATCTTTCACTGCTGAGCACTCAGGGTTTCCATGTTAGTTGCTGCCTTAAGAAAGAGGCTATTGAAGGGTTACCCAGGTATCTGTGTAGAAAACCAACCTAACCTGGTCAAAGTAAACCAATGCCACTGATGTTTGTAGTCATGACACAGGAAACCACCATGCTAATCTACCTATGAATGAGGATATAAACACAGCTGCCTAAATGACAAAAAGCATTCAATACTAATTTATTGCTTTTGTTTGCCGTTTCCTTGGTCTCTTTTTCCTGAACCTTGTCAGCAAAGCTTCTAAATGTTCTAACATAGGAATCCAAGTCACAAGTTGCACCTCTTATATTAAACCTTGCCTCAAAGAAAGAAATATTGTTTTGCTGTGTATGTTTGCAAAAGCTCTATTATATATCCAAGGCAGGAGTCAGCATGTCTATAGAAAGCCAAACACAACCACATAATTATATATACAACTTTAACTGTGTGGAATTACAACACCTGGTCTTATTTTTATAGTAGGACACTTATACAATGTCTACATTTCAAAGACATCAAAAAGTTTTCTCTAAGGAATCTTCCCGGTCTTTACTGAAATTTCCTCAACTTTTTGCTTAATATAGGTAACAGCTTGTTACAAGAGAGGCAAACAGCAAGACCCATGTTTTTAAATTTTTAACCTTACAAAATGAAAATAACAAAATTCCATAAGTTCAAAATGTTTCAAAGATTTAAGAAAAAAATTTAAGAACAAGGAAGGCTAAAGCTGTTGGATTACTTGATTTCGCATAAGGAAATAAACTGATCTGAGGTCATCTAACAAATGAACACATGACTTAGTTCATCTCACCTTGACTTGGTGTTATATCATCTCAACACACTGATTTTGTTCAAGTAGATTAAAACAACTCTATGAGAATATGGTGCTTCAATGAACTTGTATATAAAATAGTATTACCATTAGTTTGTTTTGACATAAACAAGACTGGGAAGAAGGATGTACTTTATCAGCAGAGCAGCTCTCAATTTCATAGTCCTGTTATCTGCCCTTCAGGGTAGGGGGAGAAAAATTTCCCTAAGGAACAAAGTTAAAGAGCTAAACAAACCAGTTAATCCTTTTGGTCCATTTTCCACCTATCAAAACAAGAATGAACTAGCTGCTCATGGTCATGGATGCTAGAAGAATGCAAATAGAGATTTACCCTTTTTATATGTTTGTCCTTTTTACACCTGATAAAATTACAATAAATACAAAACATGTTTTAATGCTTTGATAATAGCAATGATGTGTCATGGATATATGATACAATAAATATTGTGACTACTTACAGTGAACTTAACTATTTGTACTAACTCTCACTTGATTTAAAATGCTCTACAGTGAATAAAAATGAGACAACTGAGAATTTAAGAAAAACATTTTTAAAAGCACATAAATACTAAAGAATTCTCAGATAAGCAACAATTGTAGGAATTTTTTTTTGTACAGAGTTGTTACTCTGTATAAATTCATAGCTAAAGGTTAGAAAATCTCTCTCTGCCCAGCATCAATTCAATAGATATCCAAGAATTAGCCAGACTTCTCAGAGACAATGTTTTCAGTTAATATATGTACAGAATGAATCACTGAACAAAAGGATTATTAAGCACATGACCCCACCAATCAAATGCCTTTCCTACACATTTTCATCTACACGTGTGTGCATCCATTTCTCTTGTTCTATGTGTATTACATTAATATTGTTTATTTCTAAAATCAGGAACCAAATATTTAATACTATAAAGAATATAGTTTAAGTCAGACTTTCTATGTGCCTATTGTGAAATGGTTTATGTGGCCTTTTTTTTTTTTAAAGATTTTATTTATTTATTGAGACACACAGAGAGAGAGAGGCAGAGACACAGGCAGAGGGAGAAGCAGGCTCCACGGTGGGCGCCCGACATGGGACTCGATCCCGGGGCTCCAGGATCATACCCCTGGCTGCAGGTGGCGCTAAACTACTGCGCCACCGGGGCTGCCCGTTTACATGGCCTTTGATGCATAACATTTTATATGTTAGTTCTCAACTGGGAGTGATTTTGTCCCCCCAAAAACATTTAGCAATATCTGTGGACACTTATCATCATCATGGTTGGGATGATAGGCGCTACTGGAATCTAGTGGGTAGAGGTCAGGGATGCTGCTAAATATCCTAAAATGAATAGGATAACTCCCCACAACAAAGAATTACCCAAGCTAAAGTGTCAGTGCTGTTGAGGCTGAGAACAATCTGTCATGTGTGAATGAAAATAGCATGGGAACAGTATTTGAGACTCTAATGCTTCTGGTACAAAACCTCCTGTGCTTTAGCTCTCTTTCCCCATTCACCCCATAGGCCTTGTTTCTGACCACATCAGATCTCCAGTCTTGACCTTTCTCTCCCAGCCTATCAATAATCCCCTCCTGGAACTCCTCAAAAATTAACAGGCATTTCTTACATGATTAAAAATAAAAGGTGGAAACATACTATAATTAGTCATTTCTTTTACTATCTGTTTCTGTTTATCTCTTTATTCCTACTACCCAGCAGAGGACCTGATACAGAGAAGTTACTCATTATGTGTTGGTTGAATTAATAAGGAAGCAAGGAAAAAAGAGGCAAACAGAGGTGCTTCTATAAAAGTTCTTGATAAGACACAAATGGAATCTTGCCCAAATAAATTGAGTATTCATAATTGATATTCATATGACAACAATGTATTGATTAAAAAGCAGGCTCTGTTTTTAGTAATAGCCCAAGCCATCCAGTCAGGATTCCCTCTAATCTTTTACCAACAGTTCCACAAGACATTCCAGAGTAAAAGGACTTCTGACTTTGGTTAGCCCGGGCTCACCCTGGCTTTAGCTTTTGGAATTGGTTCTTGAAACTCTACTGAATTTTATCTATTTTGAGGAATGTAGGCCAATAAAGTAATCCAAAATAAAAAGTAATTTCTAAAAATAATATGTAGAATAACAAAACAGTGGAAAATTGGAAAATAGACCCAAACAGGATAATGATAAAACAATATAATGCTCTAAACTATACTGAGTAACAAGCTTGTGGACTATGTCAATAACTAGATTTTTTTTTAATTACCAGACATTTTTTAATGAAGTAATGTTAACATAAAAAGGAGACCACAAAACAATTTATACACTGATTATACCAACTATATGTATAAATAGAAATGTGTTTTTAAGATAGGAAGAGAATCAGGAATGATGGTTTTTTTCTAAAGATCACAGTTTTTTTTTTTTTTTTTAAAGAAGGAGTAGAAAAATATAAAACATCATCACAGGTTATCAAGCTGCACTTCATTAAGAAAAGAACGCCGTCTTCATGTTTCCCTTCACTAAAACCTCTTTGCCTTCTAATATACTTGGTCATGCTGACAGGAATAGTACTCAGGCAAGAGCTTCGGGAGAAATCTATCTCACAAGTGTTTCTCAGTGTAAACAGGGAAAGGCAATGAAAATTGTGCCCTTGATACTAAAGGGCAAAGCCTATACAGCACACTCACCAAGGATCGTTAATTTAGACCACCATTTTGATGGCTATCCAGAGTAATTTCCTCATGAAGAGATATATACTAAAATTAGAACAGTCCTTAGCTTATCTAGTTGATAATCTGCTCCAGCACATGAACATCTATATACAACTACTTTTCATTTGCTGTTTACGTCAGATGATGACAAATACTGCCATACACAGCTAGGGAATGCCAAGTACTTACCCCAACATCGTCATCGCTCTGTATCAATTGTGAGTGTCCAAACAGGCGTCTCTTCAGTATGGGTTCAACCAGGGTAAGGTACACCATGTACAGAAGTAGAAGGCCCAAAATGGAGAGATAAATTATAATGGTAACCTAAAGGAAGTTGAAAATAAGTTACATCTCTGTTTGAGGCAAAAAATCAGAGTTCTGTATAATAATAGTGAAGACACGGTGAAGACTGATTTTTCTGCTAAGCATATAGGATTCCTATACAAACCAAATTCCAACATAAACAAACTCAACTCTTCACCAAAATATTATTTAAAGATAAAGAGAAAAAATGTGTTTTGTCTTTGAGATCTTATTGCAAGTCTTCAGAACTCCATCTTCACCTACTGCTAATCATTTGTCACCACTGCTAGCATACCAAATTTCTTTTTTCACCTGAATATAGTGTCCTAGATTCAGCAGTACTGTGTTTAGACAACTTAAAGGAACCCTAACAAAAAAAGGTAATTCAGATGAATTTCAACAGAACACTCTTTTAGATC